GGTTTTATAAGTAAATAAATTTATTAAGTAACGTTGTTTCAATCAGAAAAAACTTCTGGTAGACTACCTCACTGCCAATTCAGGTTATAAAACTCTTTTTATTGCTTTATTTACATATGCATTTCGAAAAGAAGGAAGAAACGTTGGAACACGATATAAACTATTTCAGATGCTTTTTTAAGAGAACATACTCCAAATACTCTAAAATTAAAAAGAACAATAAAAAATATAATACCAAAACATATGATTAGAAAAATTGAAAGAAAAATAATAAAAGCTGCAATTAGGAGCAAAATTAAAAAATGGAATAATTTAAAGCAGGGATGGCCAACATGAGGCCCGCGAGCGGCATGAGGCCCGCCGGGAGTCGTGTTGCGGCCCTCGGAGCTAGGTCAAATGAACATAAATGTTAACTTTATTGTACATATCACCAAATGAACATTAGAGTTAAGAAGGTTTGGAAGAGTTCTATGAAACGTATTTGGGCAAGGATAAATATCCTGCGTTTTACAAACATGCTCTGTCGACGGTTTCGCTATTTGGAAATACTTATGCGTGTGAACAACTTTTTAGTCGCATGAAGTACATCAAATCACAAGTGAGAACACGAATTACTGATGTTCATTTGGAAAACTGTTTGCGTGTAGCGACAACATCAGTGGAGATCAATTTTGATGCACTTAGTTCTGTAAAACTTGATGCACTTAGTTTTGGTAGAACAAAATCAGATGTCTCACTTTTAAATATTTTTAAATTGTCTAATAAATACGTTTCTCGGTTATTAAATAAATGATTCTCGGTTATGTTTTATTTTCTTCAAAAAAATAAATATATCTATTTTTTGTGTTTTTTTTTTTACATTAAACCAGGCAAGTGTTTGACCACGATCTCACATACTGGAAAGCAAAAATGTGGTTGAAGCTGTAGCACGCTTGCTTGTTTACTTTAATTAACAAAAAAAAACTAGGTGCGTGGCCCGGCAGGAAATATTATTTCTGAAATCTGGCCCGCCTGCTAAAAAGGTTGGCCACCCCTAATTAAAAGTATCAATTAAGGAAAGTATTTCACCGATATAATTATAAAGAAAATCCGTACAAAGGAATTGCTAATAAATATAAATACAAAAAAAGATATAAAATTACATAAACTATTTAAGTACCCAATCACTAAGGGAAAAAATATATGGGTAGATAATTTAATCATCAACAAAACTAATATACAAATCCATAAATGCATAAAGAATTTCCTAGCTTTAGGTATAGATTTTAATATACCTATAGGTAAGATAACTATTGATTTAATAGCAAATATAGACAAAAATATAAAAGATTTACCAATAAAAAAAGAAAACTAATTTAATTGGTTCTGTCGTCAATGATAGAAGCATATACCCCCAAAAAATAAGTTTAAAATAAATAAATATAAAACAAATTTAAATAAGACTATAAATTTTTAAAAAACTAATAATTTATTTATTATCAAAGCTGATAAAACAAAACAACTCATAATAATAAGTAATAATGATTTGGAAAACAAAACAATAGAACAAATTAACAACGAACAATATATCAAATTAGATAATAATCCATATGAAAAAAATAAAAAAAATTAACGAAAATAATAAAAATATGTATTCGAATAACAAAATTAATTTAATGAAATAGATAAAAATAATGTACTTAATTTTAAAAATAATAGAATTCCAACATTAAATATACGATTAAAAACACATAAAAAAAAGATATAGACCCATAGTAGATTTTAGGTATTCAATACTGTACACTTTTGAAAATTATATTAAAAACAAAAATTATTGAAGGATGCACAAATAGTATAAAAAAATGCTGATGAAGTTATTAATATAATTCAAAAAATAAAAAAAGACAAAACAGACACATTAATAAGTTTAGATGTAAAAAGTATGTACCCAAACATAAAATGGGAATTAATAAAAAACAGCCTGATACAATTAAAAACCGACTAAACGTTAATAGATCTTATAGAATTTGCATATACAAAAAATTATTTTGAAGTTTGTAATAATTTTTATAGACAAACTGATGGCGTTAGCATGGGGTCAAAGATGGGGCCAAAATTGGCTGAATTAGTAATGAAAGATATAAATAAAACAAAATACAAAACATTCCTAGTGTTAAAACTGTAATGAGATATGTACGAGTAGATGATTACTTATTGATTGTTAATAATAAGATGACAAATGAGAAGATGATTTTAAGTACGATAAATAATATAGACCAAAATACATAATTTGATATAGAATTAGAAAAATATAATAAAATTAATTCTTTGGATATAACTATAACAAAAGAAAAAGAGAAATTCTCATTTAAAACGTATAAAAAAACATCTAATNACAAAAATTATTGAAGGATGCACAAATAGTATAAAAAAATGCTGATGAAGTTATTAATATAATTCAAAAAATAAAAAAAGACAAAACAGACACATTAATAAGTTTAGATGTAAAAAGTATGTACCCAAACATAAAATGGGAATTAATAAAAAACAGCCTGATACAATTAAAAACCGACTAAACGTTAATAGATCTTATAGAATTTGCATATACAAAAAATTATTTTGAAGTTTGTAATAATTTTTATAGACAAACTGATGGCGTTAGCATGGGGTCAAAGATGGGGCCAAAATTGGCTGAATTAGTAATGAAAGATATAAATAAAACAAAATACAAAACATTCCTAGTGTTAAAACTGTAATGAGATATGTACGAGTAGATGATTACTTATTGATTGTTAATAATAAGATGACAAATGAGAAGATGATTTTAAGTACGATAAATAATATAGACCAAAATACATAATTTGATATAGAATTAGAAAAATATAATAAAATTAATTCTTTGGATATAACTATAACAAAAGAAAAAGAGAAATTCTCATTTAAAACGTATAAAAAAACATCTAATATAAATAAAACAATCAGTATTATTCATATACCCCAATAGCTATTAAAAAGAATACATATATGATGGAATTAAACAAATTTTATACAAGAACAACCAACAAAAATGAACGCATAATGGAATTAAACGAATTAGATTATAAATTCATTCTCAATAATTACCCAAAAAGAACGTTAAAAATTTGGTATACACAATATTACAAAAATAGATTTAATATAAAAAATAAGAGAGAGAAAGTTTACAAAGCCTTCCCTTATATAAATGATATTTTCGATAACTGTTTTAAACTTTTAAACAAGGATAATGTGGTTTTGGCCCCATCTTTGACCAATAAAATCTCACATGAAATTCATAAACTAGGAAAACACAAAACCAACGTTGATAAATTGAAAAAAACTAAAATTGTTTATAGAATTAATTGTAACTGTCAAAATCCGAAAAAATACATAGGAGAAACAGGAAAGACTTTAGAGTTACGTATTAAAGTACCTGTACATGAAGCTGCCACAACACTAAAACATAATGACTCCCCTTGGTTTAACCACATCATAAATAGCAACTGCCAAATAGATAGAAATAATCCTACACTATGAAAAAGACATTTATAAATGTAAATTCAATGAACACATAGAGATAATAAAATACAATAACAATAATTTAATAAACATGTCAAATGGTATGCAAATCGACCAACAATGGTACAACATAATCGGAACGAAAACATCAGTTAATTATATCATAAGGATTATACATTGTCGCGAAAAAGCTTTTTGTATTTTAATGGACTTAAAAGGATATACAACATATACAGTTAAATTTTGAAAATAATAAGCTTTTAATTAGTAAGAAACCTGTATGTATATTTATATTTTTGTTTTTTAAGAGTTTTTAAATATTATTGTAAAATGTTACTTAATAACATAATTTATAATTACTACTGTAGAAAGCGGTACATCCTTTCGATATAACACGATAAACGCCCTTAATGTAATCGTTTAACTTTGTAAAAATACAGTATTGTAAATGGGACTAAAAGTACCGTATAAGTGTGAAATTAAGCCATTGTAACCTATGGAGACTCTTAAGGTATTATAAAGGATGTTTTTATTCTTTTATATACATTTTCTACACGCGCTACTTTTTGTCAATTTTATAATTTAAAAGTTTATTTTGTAGCACTGGAGAGGAGCTAGAAAGTTAATCTAGCTCGAAATGCATATGTAAAGAAGCAATAAAACGAGTTTTATAACCTGAATTGGCTGTGAGGTAGTCTACTGGAAGTTTTTTTTTTGGATTGAAGAGACGTTACTTCATAAACATATAAACAGCTACCATTAGAAAATTCAGAAAAGTAAATAAAGGTACAAATATTCAGTCATAATTTTCTGCTCGCCTCACACCTTTCCTCTTTCTTACATAAAACAAAGTCTGAAATAAAAATATTACGAACATAAAAAGCAAAACTGCTTTTCACGTAAATAACAATTACAGTGTTAGTGAAACAGAAGGAATACAAGTTGAAGTTTGCCTTCGCTGTAAAATGATTCTATCAAAGCAAACTGTCTCAAGTGCTACTATATTAATACAACGTAAATTTCAAATGTTACCAAAATACTATCAATTTCTTAATGTAAAAATAGTTTTAATACATTAAGTGAACACAAAATATAACTCTACTGAATTTTTCTCCAATAAAAATTTTAAAAGTGTATAATTTTAAATGAAAATCCATTATATTATTTAAATATACATTTCTAATGCATATATAATTTATTATAACAAGATTACAGTAAAATGAAATATTACTAACATTTTACTCGTAAGTACTGACATCAAAAAACGTAAATATTTTAAAAATTCTCGATGTAAAATACTTGAAGAATAATATACTACATTGTGTCAGATCTGGAAAAGTAACCATTGATACCATTATTACATTAAAGTTTTTTGTACAATTGAGATTAACTGGAAAAAATAGGTCTTAAAGTTTTTAACTGTAATTTATATTCTATAATTACAATAGTAAATTCTCCGGTAATATTTCTCTTTACCTCTGTCTCTATATTGTGTTATCAGCTTTAGGAAAAATTGAGAAAATCAAAGAAAGAACCACAGGAATGAATATCAATGCATGAAATGCTGTTTCCAATGTGATAAGAAATACAATTTTCATAAATATAATTGAAGCGTACATATCTCTATATACAAATAAAATTCCTAAAATGGTTGACAGAGATCCTTGACATATTGGATAGCCTATACGATACAGACTGTCTTTCATTCTTTCATTGGGGGTTTGGTACGGAGAACAAATATACGCGTAAGATATGTGAGCCGGATAATTGACGCAGAATCCGACACATAATATCAGACTCATCATAGATAAAATGTCCATGTTTATATCCCAAAGAGACATGTATCCTAAAGTTTCTACAATGGTAGATGTTACCGATATTGCAACCAAAACAGCAACGACAATGTTTGGTATGATAACCACGAAAAGAATCATAACCAAAAATGAAGTGATCCAAAATAAATCCTGAATTGTACGTCCAATTATTATTCCTTGTTCGTACACAGATGCGATTGCTGCATAAACAAGAACAGGAAAATCAATTTCGTCAGCAATTTTCCACAGAGTTTTTAACACTTCCATTTCAGCTGCTTGACTTAACGTATCATTTACAAGGATGTGAAATCTGCTACTTATAATATCGGATCCATCAGAATTGAAGACGATATCATCGGAGAATTGTTCCGCTGGTTTAAATTTTAGGAAAACATTGCGAAGTGCATCAAAAAAATCTTCTTTAACCGACATGTTGTATCCCCGTAATAAATATTTTGCTAGCGGATGATTTTGGAATTCTTTATAATATTTTAACCAAGAAACTGTTAATCGGGAATCTGCAATGTATGGAAGACTTTCGAATTTGTTGAGTAGTTCATCCACTGATTTCTGTACATTTAAATCTGAATAATCAAGTGTGCTGTTAATGATTATTTGATAAGGAAACGTATAACGGCCGAAACTGTTATAATATATTTTAATACCCTGTGTTATTACCGATTCTTCTGGATATAACTTAGTAAATTCTATACCGTGTTTTATAGTTAAGGCTCCCCATATTCCAAATGATAAATTCATAAAGTAAACGATGATAACTGTTATCTTCATTACCTTCATTGATAGAATTTTCCCCAACTTATCCCTAAAACATGACATTGTTGGCTCGTCAGTAGACATTTTTTCCTCTGTAGAAGAATGTTCGATATCTTCTGAAAATAAAAGTTAGTCATTTAGAATATATATACAACTTCTTACTCAAAAACAAATTTAAGAATCATGTTTAGTTAGTTTTTAAATCATTTTGTGTAACAATAATTAGCTGGAAAATAATTAATAAATAAAAGATATCAGCAAAACAGAGAAATGGAAACTGTCCAGTCATTTCATCAAATCACGTAAGAGAATACAAAACAATTACTTTTTTGTATTATATTTTTCGCCATGATTTTTTATGTTAACGAAAGACTGTTTTTTTTTCTTAAATTAAAACAGAAAATAACCGCTAACGAAAGAGGCAAGAGAGGAAAGGAGAAGGAAAATCAGCAGTTAGAAAGGATGGATTCTTCTCAGTGGCTTACGTAAGGTTAATACTACCTCTTCGTTTAACGTTCACGTGGAGGTTTTCGGCTACAAAGTCATGTGTCTAAAAAAACCTGATTTGTAACATACATTAAAAAGTAGTAAAGCCACAAATAATTTACAAAGAGCAGAATTTAATGCTCGACGATAAAATAAATACTTAAACTATATGATACCAATAAATGTACTTTTAACGGTATATAAAACTTGGAATTCGATTAACAAGCCAGGAAATACAGTCAAAAACGTTAATCCCTTATTATATGAAATTTCGCATTAAAGTGTCACATGAGTTTAGACGACTCATCAAAGACAACTCTGTGTATACTAGTTATATAACAAAACATTTTAAGTCTGCAATACTGTCAACAGAAAATTGATTATATATAATACTTCTGTTGTCATGTCAATTATAAAATGTGTAACTCAGAACAAGATATGTTGTGAGTACTGAATTTCTTCTAATATTACGTATGCAAGAACACGGCAAGTTAACAGTGTGTTGGTGTTATTTTTAATATTATTTAAATGTAAATAAACTCGAGAGGTGTACTTACGGTACCTAATTTACATACTGTACAGACGATAGCTCGCCTAAACTCTCCGTAGCGTGGCGCTAGACGGCGGAAAGTATATATATAATTATAATAAAGTTACAATAAATAAAGTTAATATATAATTATATATACAGTACCTAATTTATATATAATTTATATATAATTATATGTACAGACGATACTAAACTCAATTTACCCGCCTAAACTGTCCGTAGCGTGGCGCTGGACGGCGGAAAGTAGTTCGGCTGCCCGATGACGTTTTACGTAATTATAGCAGTTTTTCTACCGTTGTTTACGGATACCGCGACAATTTTTTCGCCGTCTTATAGGAATCGTAATTATAGGAACCCGTCTTATAGGGAGATCTACTGTATACTCCTATTAAAAGCTGTGTTAGATACTAATCCAATAATTTCTCTGAATGGAAACTGATGAATTATACCAAATGCTTTTATTTGTCATCTGTGGTAAAGTAAATGATTTAACTTTAAAATTGGTATTTTAATTACTTTTTTATTCAAAGCTTCTTCATGACCAATTATAATATTGGAAAAACATCATTATTTCTGGAAAGTAATAAAGCTTTTTGAATTTTTTTTTACTACAAAATAGAAACGTTGGAAAAATACGATCAATTTGTTTCTTATACTGTTTGTTATACTGTTACTTATACTAAACCTTTTGAAATAATTTTTAACAATGGCAAATATATATCATTTACATGATATGCTGAAATAATATCACAAAGTATATAAATTTCATTACAGCAGAGCGTTGTAAATCCGAAAGTCGGTTATCCGTAACGTCGGTTATCCGAAAGAAATCTAATCGGCAAATTTAAATTTTCGCTAGTGTTGTGGCGCTCTAATCTTTGGCTATATCTTGGGCTACTCCAATATTATTTTAGTTGAAATGTGTGTTTTAGCTGGCAGCACTGGCACTTTTGTGTGGTGTTTTTCTGAGGACTGCGTGTCGTGCTGAATCGAACGTTTTTGATACCAGATTAATTTCTAAAGTATAATTTTTTTTTGTTTTTATATTTTTCAATATATTTATTCTGTTTGTACAAGATAAAAAAAATAATTTTTAACGATAAAATAGCCACGATTATTATTTTTAAAAATTTACGTTAGGCTTAGCATCGACAAAAATTCAACGCGAAGCGACACGCAACGGAGAAAAATTCCAACATGAGATTGGTTAATATATTTTTTCGTACATAATCGGTTATCCGAAAAATAAGTTATCCGAACGACCCCAGTCCCCAATTGATTCGGATAAACGACGCTCTACTGTATTTCAAGCAGATAAATCTATAGAATATCCACTAATATATTCTGTTTCAATAAATTTTTTATTAGTAAAACCTAATATAGCTCTTAATACATTTTCAAATTTTTATTTTTATATTTTTAGCTAAATTTAATTTTACTTGTCTATTAAATAACAATATATATTTAATATCCAATAATTCTTTCAACGATCTTTTTTGTGTATGATACAATCCCATAGGTATTGTTTTCAGCTGTTTTTTATAACAATATTACACTCAGATTTTGTTCTAATTTTTTTCTAGTAGTAAAAAAGTGATCATCTAATTTAATGCCGATGGTCGACAGTTAAATATCATACTTTAGATATACAGTCGACTTCCTATAACGTGGGTTCCTATAACGGAGATTCCTATAACGTGGCGAAAAAATGCGACAGTATTCGCATAAGGACGCTAAAAGCGACTCGTAAAACGTCGTCGCCGACTCGTGTCGCGACAGGATTGGTCGAATCTGGACCAATAGTAGACGAGCAGCCGAACTACTTACACGCTACAGGGAGTTTAGTCAAGTAAGTTGAGTTTACTATCATCTGTGCAGTATTATATATAAATTAAGTACTATATATTAATTATATATTAACTTAATTTATTTTAACTTTATTATAATTATATATATACTTTCTGCCGTCCAGCACCACGCTATGGAGAGTTTAGGGGAGTAAGTTGAGTTTACTATCGTCTGTACAGTATGTAAATTAGGTACCGTAAGTCTAATACAGCTGTAATTTTATACATTTCTTGTGAAAGAAACATTTCTTATTCAACGGCCATAAAGATTATTTAAATTAATGACGTCTCCAAAGTTCAACGAAGTTTTCGCAGAAAAATAACTTTTCAGAAATCGCGGCCGCCGTTTGGTGCGCTGCTCCGCGACGAAAACAAGCTTAAGCAATGGCGACGTCGAACGGTGCACACTCGGTAAGTAATCCTGCAATTTTTTGTTTATAGCATAGTTTATACGGATTATTCCCAAAAAATTATACATGTTTTGGAAATGTTGAGTCGAATTAGTCTAGAATCGGTTAATTTTATGGAAGAAAACCTTTCAAACAGCCGTAGTCCGTGAACTTGACACGTGTCGGGCTGCGATTGGCTCATGTATTTAAGGATTCCTACAATGTGAAATTCTTATAAAGTGGAACGTATCTACGCGTTATAGGGGGGTCTACTGTATTTAAAATATTTAATATTCTGTAATCTTTTATTAAATAAATTTCATAATTATCATTTTTCAATAAGTCAAGATCTGAATTATTTTAGTTATTAAATTTTATAAATATTTAATTAGTTATATTAAACCAAGATTTGAAATAATACATATATAACAAATTCCCATTTTCCAATTATAGGTGATAACAGTTTTGTAATGCGATGTGATGGAGTATTAGATGAAAATACATTCAAACTTGAATTACTTGGTAGAGTAATATAAAATTCAGATTTCATTTCAACCATAATGCTTTAATAATATATAAACTCTAAATATTTCCAGAATATTAAACAATTATACATACTGATAATGTTTTATATATTAAATTCCCACAAAAATTAAGTTTCTGCAAATCATTTTCCATTAATTAACAGAACAGTTAAACGAAATAATGCATCATATACACAACATACTTACTCCTCATACTTTGCCAATAATCACTCTCTACAATGTCGTATGGCATACAAATTATGAAAAATCCCATATTCTATATATATACAATTTAAAAAGTTTAATGAACTTACCGAAAATAACACGAAGTGCTTTTTGTCGTTGTTTCTCTTCACTGCGTCCTGATAATGCCATGCACCCTGCAAAAAACGTTATCTGATACAAAAACGTAAACACTATGCTGGTTGCAGAATAATAACAAAACATTCTTATAAGAGGGAAAGGTGACATCATTCCAATGCAATAGGAAAATAGGTTCGTCAATGATGTTAACGTTATAGAAATTCCTGCTTCACCCAATGTTTCTTCCATACGTTTGTGTACTTTATGCTTGGGGTTTGATATTCTCCAACACGCTAACAATACGAAGGCATCGTCGATCTCTGTCACTACAACAGAAAATCTTTATTAATTGAAGAAATCACAATCGAAAAGAGAACAAATATAAAAGCGTAAGTAATCACTTACCGAGAACTAAAAATGGAATGGTGATGTTCCAAATACTATTCTGTACACCGACAACCGACATGAATCCGAAAGATGTGATTACGGCCAGACCAGCCGATACGACACTTGCAACACCTAGAAGAGGCTTGCTTTTTGCCCAATTGTTGCTCATACACGTAACAGCAGTAAAAACAGAAATAAATGCAACCAGTGCCGCTATCATCGGTTTTATATTATTCTTTAATTGCACATTTCGCTCTTCTATTGACCAGGTGTAATCAATAAAACACAGAACATGTTTAAATTGATAAATTCTTATTCGATTATAAACTTCTGTTCGCCATCTTTCTATGACATTTTGTTTTTTCTCGTCGCTCTCGTCTGTGAAATACGTTAATCTGATAGCATTTACTGTTTGAATCACATCGTTCTCATCTTCGATTACACCCCCAAAGTTGAGAGAATTAATTTGATAAGAGTATGTCAGTGGATCTATGTCGATCGGATACTTTAATTTCTTTTTTCTCTGCACTATATTATCAATATCGGGCAATATTTCGATAATCGGATTTTCAAAACACTTTTCGCCTACACGTCCACAAATATCTGAATATCCAATGTTTACACCTTCATAATTAATTGTTATATTTTTAATTAGTCGATCCGCCAAACTTATTTCTAGTAGCACATCTTTTTCGAGCATGTCACCACCACCTTTCTTTGTAAATATCACAAACACACATTTTGGTATGTTTGTATATCTTGTCGGATCAAAGAATTTCGATGTGTTAAAAGGAAACGTTTCCTCAACGAACTTCTTAGTATTATAGACTTTTCCTGAATCTGCGAATGTCAGTTGGATTGTGCTTGAGATTGTGTTTATATTGAATACGAATGCTGAGAATGTCGCTGTTATTAAAATAGGAATAAGAATAAAGCAGTACGGATAAAGTCCGATTAATCTTCCTAATTTTCGAAAAAGGATCGACAATTGTTTCCTCACACAGTCAATTTTCATGTTTCTATTTTTATTAATAGCAACAAGATATTACTTTGCCTATAAAAAAAAAAGAAAATTGAACATTATTGAAATAAATTCAATTAAATGATTGACTAAAATTTAGATTTTGTATTTGAAAAGTTTTATTTTAACCTAGATTGAATATATTAAGAATTCGTTCTTATACAGTTTGAAAGTGAAAGCTATTAATTATTGTTTCTCTACACATGGTTTGTGAATTTTTTTTATTACATAGCATATATTAATTCATTTTGTACTTTGAGAATAAGCTATAAATAAATATACAATACTACACATTATTTACATTTTCAAATTATTATTAATTAACGAATGCCCAAAGTACGTTTCATATATAATCTTCTGACATTTCATCACTAACAAACATTTTTTACTTTTGATTTATTATTTAGATTTTATAAGTAACGTTAAAATTCCTGTAAACCATTCACTTTTCAGTCGTTGTCTCTGAGTTTAAATACTAGATATGATTAGTGATATTTTCACTTATGAAACGAACTGTAGTTCTCTTGTACAACATGAATATACAGCAAACACTTAAGAATATTATCAGTGATCTTATTTTCCTTTTTTTAAATAATACAACGTTAATTATAACAACAAATAAGCAGCTATAACAAAATATACAGCTTAATACGACTACTAAATTTGATGTTAATTTCTTGGGTAAATTTTTTGGTGTTTTCTGAGTTTGGAGTCACCGTTTAGAGACATACGTGGTACTTCATATTTATTTATAATCGCTTTTAAACTATTTAAATCGTTTTTCATCTAAATTGAGACAGATTATTTCTAGGGAGTTTAGTTTAACACATAACATTATGTTTCTTTTGTTTCTCACTTGTTTTTAATATGAAAAGAAAACAACGAAGAACTTTACAAAATCTATTTTAAACTTAAACAACGAAAAAACTTAAAACACAAAATACATTGTTTCTGATAATAAAAAAATTCTTTTGCTTTATTTTTTCACATAAAAAAGTAAAGCAATTTTTTTTTCTCTCTCTCTCTCCTTAATAACAATTATTCACTCTGCTCTAAAGCACCAAGCATGAAGGTTGTTCTTAAATCAAATTAACGTGTAAATTTATCACATATTGATAAATAAGAACATTTCAATATTACATAGTATATTGTGACTGAACCATTAGGCTTACCATTTAACAATAAAATAATGACGATTCTCATATTGCTGTTAATTGATATAGTTTAATTATATTAGTTAAGGTACTTTGGGATATTTGTAATGTTCTTGATGATATGATAGAAAAATTAAATAAATTCAAAGTAAAATAAATTCGAAGAAGAAAATTAAGACGAATCATATTTCTTAAAAAATTATATTCCAAAATGCATTAGTGCTTTGCACGAAATCTTATAATAAAAATAAAATAGAACCCAAAGTATACTGAATTACCACTACTACTTAAAAATAAAGTAGTAAACTTTTTCATATAGACTCATCATCGAATCTTAAGTGGCATAAATGCATACTAGATGTTTTGTCTAAGAGCAAGAGTGAGTAAGTTCAATACTAAACCTACTTCACAAACAAGATTAGAAATTAAACAATTCACAAAATTCATTAAATTAAAGATTTGAGTATGTAGAATCTTTATACCTTTGATGAATTTCTATTTTAAATTGCAAATTCTCTCAATTTAACATCTTAAATATCGCATTTGTTCGTTGCACACCTTCATGTTCTGTGTATGGGAAAGATGCTACTAAACTTCGAATGTGGTTAAAAAAGTTTTCTTTCAGTAAATTTTTAACTAAAAGATACAAATGGTAGTGGTCATCTAAAATCTGTTGACAAAGAAAAACTGCAGGAAGAAATTGTTAGAATGACGAATAACAACAATACAGTATATAAAACACTAAAAGCATTCAACCCTAACACAAAAGCAAGAGATAACTGATTGTGTTCATAATTCGAACACGTTTTATTTACTGTGCATGCAATTTAAACTTTAAAGCATCGTTCGAACTTTGCAACAAATTTTTGCTGAATTTTGCATTCCAAATCTACAGCATGAAAAAGAAGGCTTCTTTAATGTATGAGGTACCAGTGTATTTTTAAAATAAGCTTTACCCCATAATTTTATATTTATTTAAATAAGACGCACAGTGTTATTAAGATAAGCGAACTGCCATACCTGAAAAGGCCAAGTGTGCCTGTTCCAATGTAGAAGTAAACCTTAGATGATTGTCAAGCTTCAAAATATTGTTGTCGTATTATGGCCAGTGTTTGTATCAATCTGTAAAAAAAATAACTCAGTATTGGTTTTTAAACATCATAATACAATATCACAATATAAAATCTTCTAAAATAATCTCTTCTAGTAGAGTCTTCATTAGCAAAATTTTACTTAATCCAAGGTAAAATGCACAACTGAATCACGATACCTGAATGGGGTCTATAAATTACAAAATTGTAATGACATAATGCGACAATATGAATTTTTATAATTGTAACAAATTTTGAATTTCTGTCGTCGATTTATATTCTCATTTAAAATTAAACCTCAAAAAAAACGATCAATTCTTTATTGTGACATGGTCACAATGCGAGACTGCAATTTTTAGTTATATTTTTAATTAAATTAATTTATTTAATTAAAAATATTTGCACTCTACATGAAAATTAGTGGTTTGCCCCTGTACATTATACTTTTCCTGTTAACGATAGCGTGGTGTCTGTCATATATCTAACTCCTTTCAAAAGGAAACTCTGTTAAAATAACGTGACTTTCAGTTTTTTTCAGAACCTCTCCTATAGTCAATTGGGGTCTTCCGTCCTGCACTTTCTCATATCTGGTCAACAGTCATCTACCTAACATGGCTCTCGAGATTAAGGAAGGACAGGCAGATACACAAACAGACAACAACAAGAATGTGTATATATATAATTTTTTTTAAATTGCAACCAAATTATATTATTGTTATAATTTAAAAGTTACTTAAGTAAGTAGACTGTGTCAGTATCGTCATGCTTCAAAGTATAACTGCAGCTACGAATATTTAATTAAAATGCCTTAATGTCCTTCACTTCTATAATATATAAATTTTTCGTCTACAAAATTTATATATTATACCAAATATTTTCATGTTAGCTTTTAAAATTCCAAGTATTTTCGATTTGAATAACAAATAATACGAAAGTAAATTAATTATTGAATATAGTATTTTCGATACGTGAAATACAATTTTATTACACAATGCTGACTGGAGAACTAGACAGTTGGATGAAGTTGTGAAACCAGTTAACTAATACTAAAAGGAAATAAATGTACCAGTATAACATAAAGTTTCTTGGAAATATTCAAATGTGACTTTTACAAATTAGTTTTATACATAAAGAACAATTAATGAATTCCCAGGAAAATTGAAAGTTGCTTATAGCATGTGAATTTTTATCTGGAAATCTTTATTAGCTTATTCTTAATTAATAATTCTTTTGAGATTTTCTGATTAGAGCTAGTTTACCTTGCAATTGGAAAATTACACCTTATACCTATACAAGAATATATTGCATGTAAAATTTGTTGTTCCCCTGGGCACATTGTTATTAATTGCACTTTTTCATCGATAATATATTGTTTGTATGACTTAGCACAAAACAGACAAGTGTAACCTTGGTTATTTAATTGTAAAATTTTTTTTTGTAAGATATAATCTAAATTTAATAATAAATTCCGAAAAATAAATATAATAATTCTTTGAAACTACCATAATTAATCTTAACATGATAAATTATTATGACATCGCCATAATGCCGGACTGCAATTTTTAATCTTATCTTTAATTTATTAAATTTAAAATACAGTCGATTCCGTTTAATTGGGACACATTGTGACTAATTTACTTTGCTTCAATTAAACTGCTGCCTGATTAACCGATGGCCTAGTAAAACGGAATCAACAATATATGCTCTCTGTTTTAAATTACTAGTGTCTTGCCCCTATACATCAAACTTTTCGTATTAGAAGTAGAGTCGTGTCGGTCATATATCTAACTCCCTTCAGTAAAAAAGAATTGAATTGAAAGAATTAGATTTTCGGTTTGCAACAAACAATCCTGTATAGTTAATTTGTCTGCTGAGATTATGGTTTCCACATCCGATCTCGGCATTTATCTATCTAACTCCGTTCTCAAAATTTAGGAGTATCCTTTCATATTTCATACCTTATATCAAAGAGTCAATCGATTTAACCAAACATTAAAATATATTCACAAGTTAATAAATATAAGATTAATTTAAATACACACTTACTTTACATGAAGTGTTAACTTTTATTAACCTTTCAACATTGGAATAATCAGGTATGGTTGTGCTACCCCTTAGTAGTAGAGAATAAACGTGCAAAATTTTTACAGTATTTTTCCACGCGTTTTTTTCTTATTGTTGTTTTGAAAAAAGATTTTGTAAACAGTTACGTCTAGTAAAGCAAAGTCTTTTTTTATTGTTAGATAATTCATTTTTTATGTGAATTTTTTTCGCGGTAGTTTTTGGCTAGTTTTTGGCGATACCCCAAAAGAATTTTACTTATATATACATTCTTCACCACTTCCACACAATCTCCCGAGAGGTATGTCTTTCACTGCTGAGTGGTTAACCTTGGCACCTTTTGCTGAATTTAACTCGACTGAATCCAGAATTA